TCGGCACCCACAGGTGCACTTCTGGGCTTCACCTCCAAAGGTTGTGGGTTTGCTCAAGGGTACGAATCTGGCCAAAAAACACTTCTACCGCATCTTTCAACTAGCAGGCTACCAATCGCCACAATGTTTCCCTTAAATGAGGCACAAGGGATGAGACACCTGTGTGTTAAATTTTCAATAAACAGAACCACACGATAGTATTCCACAAGCCCTTGTAGTCGTTACCCTTGTCGCTAATCAAGATTCTGCTTGGTTTCCCAATACTGGCACCACAGACCATATCACGAGTAATTCAAGTAATCTCAACTCTCTCATCCTCATCACAGTTTTGAGGGTGTAATAGTGGGAAATGGTCATATCTTACCTATTACTCATATTGGTTGAGTTTTAGTTGGCACCAATAATTCCTCCATTACATTAAAAGATGACTTTTTATTGGTTCTAAGTATGAAGAAATACCTTTTATCTATTAGAAAGCTTAGTAATGATTTTACACATACTTTTACATTTGAGAAATGCTTGTGTGAAAAAGGAGTTGAAAATGAACCGTATAGTGGCAAAAGGGAGTAAACGTGGTGGCTTGTATTGTTGGCACCATTGACTCCGGCGTCCACATCAATGGATTGTTGATTCCTTGCACTCTAGATTGTTTATTTCATTTGATTAGAAGGTTAAGAATTTAACACTTTGTGACAGTTGCAAAAATGGGCAGGTCATGTCAACTGCCTTTTTTGCACGTGGAACATGAAATAAACTCTCATTTTTTTAAGATTCATTGTGATTTGTGGGGAGTTGGCCCAATTCTATCTAGAGAGTATTTTCGCTTTTATGCTATTTTTATTGATGAGTATACCAAATTTACATTGTTTTTTTCTTTCGGATCTTTTTGAATGCTTAGCTCATTTATTCAAGTATGTGCTTTGCAATTTAATGCAAAAATTTGTCTTTCAAAGTGATAAGGGCGGTGAATTTGCAGACCATGACTTCAAACAATGTTTGACACATAAGGGTATTCAACATCAATCCGTTTGTCATAAAATGTCAGAACAAAATGGAAAAGTTGAGCGCAAACATCACAACATCACAGAACTCGGCCTGCCTCACTATGATGTTTCATGCTCATTTTCTGTTGGGATTTTGGGTGTACTAATTTTCTACCGCTATGTATTTTTTTGAATCACCTACCTTCTCCGAGTCTTGGCATGGATTCCCTATTTTTTTGTCTCTATGGGAAGCTCCTTGACTATACCTCGTCATGAATGCTTGGATGCAAATGTTTTCCATATCTTGGTGACTATCCGACGAGCAAATTGGATCTCAAATCACTTTCCGTGTGTTTTCATTGATCATAGTTAGAAGCATAAAGGGTACAAAATGCCTTTATGGCCGTGTGTATATTTCTCTACATTTTGTGTTTGATGAAGCAATTCTTCCCTACTCTGAATCCACTTGGCTTCATGGCACCGACACCATTAATAGTGAACTCTCGACATTCACCGAATGGGAAGAATCTCCTTCATAATTGTCATCTTGACCTTTGACAGAACCTTCTCTATTGGTATACTTCGGTTTGCTCGCCAACAACGGTTGTCCCTTCTCCAGTGGAACTTGATGAGCCCGGATTTTACTGGGCCAAGCCCAATTTAAATTAATCGAGAAAGCCCAAAGAAACGTCCAATGTCAACCCATTAAGAAAGACACCAAGAGGACAACACCAAAAGCCAAAGGCCAAAGCAGGAGGAAGACGAGGTAGCCCTTGGGCACCACCCATGGCAGCCCCTTGGGTGCCCGTCCTCTTGTTCCTCTTCACCTTGGTACTCTAATCCGAGTCCAAGCCAAACCTACTCAAGACAAGTCCAAGTCCAAGACGAGGGTCAAGCTCGATCCAACTAATGTTCTCCTCCGGATGAATAGGAGCACGAAGGAAGATAATATGGAGATAGACAAAGAAGGTCTCCTACCATAACAATACTTGCCAAAACAATAGAATTCTTCGCTTTCACGTCACCACCTTTGCTACCTTACCCTAGCTATATAATGTAAGCCCTCTCAACATTGATGGCAGACCTCCAAAATCTCTACACACACTCTTATACATACTTGCTCTTTCTTATTCTCCCTAAAAGTACTGTAACTCTCCGGAGTACCATCACTCATCAATAAAAAACACCGGCCACCGCTGCCATTTTCAAAAGTGGAGTAAGTCATCCGAGACCAAACCACTATAAGTTTCTGAGTTCTTATTTACTATTTTTTCCATTAATTACTTGTTACTCATTGATTGCACCTATTTACTTTCTTGACTGTTGATCTTGCATAAGATAATTTTGTGCATCATCAGAACTCTCTGTTGCATGTTCATCTTTAGGGTCCATTTCTGCTGCTCCACTCCGTAATTATTCAGTGCCAGCACTACCTATTTTGGACTACCGGAAGTCACCTCTTGTTCTTGCCTCATCTGGTCTGCTTCTCCTTCTGACGTAGACCCACATCCAACAGCTAACTACCCACCTACTCCACATCAGCATTCCATAGTCACAAGGTCCAACTTGGCATTCATAAGCCTAATCCGAAGTATACCAACTTTCTTGTCGCTCGTGTGTACAACGACATCCCATCTGTCCTCACTCTATAAAAGTAACTAAACCACATCAAGGATGGGCTGCTGCAATGGATGAAGAACTCACTGCCCTTACTGCAAATCACACCTGGACTCTTGTTTCGCCTAGACCCGATATGAACATTGTCGAATGCAAATGGGTATAGAAGGCTAAACTCCATTCAGATGGCTTGCTTGAGAGTCTCAAAGCTTGCCTTATCGTAAAGGGGTTTAGTCAGGTTGATGGTGTCGATTTTTCTGAAACCTATTCCCCGGTTGTCAAGCTTGCAAGCATTCATCTTACTATCACAGTTGCCATTGTCAAAGGCTAAGAGATTCGGCAGTTTGAGGTTAAGAATGTGTTTCTCCATGGTCATCTCTCTACCATCGTTTACATGAAACAACCCAAGGTTATGTTGATCCATCCTTTCTAACACGTGTGCAAGCTCTGTCGTGCCTCATGGCCTTAAACAAGCCCTTAGGCCCAGTTCGATCAACTTAGTGATTTTGTCCTGACTCTTGGTTTTTATTGTAGACCTGCCGATCCAAGCATGTTTGTGTGCAAATCGGAATATGGTCTTCTTATCTTACTATTGTATGTCAATGATATGGTTGTTACGATTGACAACCCCTCTAGCATCATTGGCTTATCTCTCAATTGCACTATTTCAATGGAACTTTTAATCTTTATGCGTTTCCTGATGTTGATTGGACCAGATTGTCCTCTTAGTCATCACTCCACCATTGGGTTTTGTACTTCTTACGTGGAAACTGTAAATCTTGGAGTGCATGGACTCTCACTATATAAGTTGAATATATAGACTTTCTCTCACTCACTATGAGATAGAATTTCTCAAAGTTTTTAGGTTGGTCACAGGGGACTTCAATTGGTCCTTTCTCTCTCCTTTTTCAAAAGTGAGCGGTGATTTTCCTTCTTTTAGGTTACCTCATTTTTGGGATGATGTTTGGCCGTGCCACTCTCTTTAGAGATGCCAGCTATAATTTTTATCAATTCACAAGGTTCTCATGACCTTAAAGTGATAGACTGCATTCAATATGAAGAAATTTTTTTTTTATCTCCCTATTTAACTACCCATCCAAGAGCATTTGGCTTCAAAATAATTGAATAAAGAAAAGCCATCATACAAAAAAATTACTTTTCTGGTACCATAGTTTAACCATAAAGAAAATAATAGAATTTTTAGAGAATTTATTTTGCCCAACTTGTGGACCATTGCAAAGTTGGTGTCACAATAATATTGAAATCCCTATAGCAGTAATATCACACAATTTTTATTTGTTATATTGATCTCTTCTATAGGGCTTAACATGTGAAGCACAGAGATATCCAAGAGGGTACATACACTGAAAGAGGAAGACGTGTTAGTCTGTGTGGATAAAGCAAGAGGATAGTTTTTAATATTCAGTGTTTAACTGACATAACAACAAAAGTAACGGTAATAACAAATTCACCATGTGGGTTAAAGATCCATCCCAAATTTTATTTTTATTAGTAAATTCTGAAATTTGAACATTGACAAGCAATATTTAGTCTTTTTTTTTTGTGTGTATAACAAACATTATTTAGTACCTGACCGAAATCACTAGGGCAAGCACATGGATCTATTACACCTCACTGTCTTAGTTTTGTTATCTTTTCTTTGCTGTTTCTGCAGTGATGGTTTGAAGCTATTGTAAGTTTTACAGTATGGAAGAGATTTGGTGAAGGTAGACAACAAACAATGGCTAGCTTGTGACCAATGGATAGCCACGACACTAAGCATGATCTTAGTTTGTTATATGTTACAAGCCATAGATAAATGTAGTTTGACGGCACCAAAGTGTGCCTAGCTATAAATGTCACACTTATACTTATCAAGTCTAGATTCAGTATGAATGTTGCCTATCTATAATACTGCCACACAAATAACTATACACATGTAAGGTCGATTAGAAGAAAAAAAAAAGACGGCCTATTGCACGACAGCATGAGGCTATTGCCAGTTAGTGTCTAAGGAGGGCCTGTACTTGCAAAGACTTTCCACAACATAAGAAGTCGATTACGTAATCATAGTATAGCACACTTGTTTTTGGCAAGAGATGTATAATGAGACTTACCTGTTTTATTTATGACATGAAAATGACTTCAATTGTGGCAACTGATTTTAATAACCTATCCAATGTGTGGGTGTAGCAAAATGTTAACCCCATGCTGGACTTGATCTTAGATCTCATTTTAGAATTTCTTTCAGTTTAACATCAAAACTGGTTAATTTTTTTCAGATAAATGATTTTGAAGGAGAGGGTCTAGCCATTGGTCTAAGATGCACCCTCATGCAAGTAGACCTAACTTCTGCTACCTTACTTATGAAATTGTGGACTGAGGTTCAACAAGGTGTACTTGTTGCACACCCTCCACTCTTCCATCTACCTGACTCCAATTGACGATATCCTCCGAGCATTGACACAAATTCAATCAGATACTTGCAAACAAAGTCCAAGGAAGAAGCTCCCTCAGTGAAGATGGCCACGGCTACGTTCATATTTTCAAACTCAAAGATCAAGTAGTGTCTCTCAGAAATCCATTGTAAGTGCCCTGAATCCACTCCATTTGATTTACTAGTAGCTCTGTTTTGGATGCGCATCATGCGATTGAAGGTACCTCCACATGGTGGTAGTACGCACTCCCTATCTTTTTGTGTAGATTTTAGGAACCTCATGCATGGACGAGTCCCTCTCGATTATTTTGGTAATGGTATACATATCTCACCATTGTCATTAAATGCTGAGGGATTGAATGGTATTGGATTAGGACACATGGCAGACCTCGTGCATCGACATGTGGTAGATCTCGAGGAAGAAGAGTTTTGTACAGTCCTAGGTTGGTTTGAATTACAATAGGGAGAGAGTAAGCAGTATCCACAACCATTTAGAATGTATGACCCTGAATTGACATGCATTAGCATGGAACACATGAACAATTCAGGGGGCGAAAAGATAGCACGAATCCATCGTTGATGTATGCAGTGATGTTCGAGAAGGACATAAAGCCTGTCCATGTGACATATTATGTGGGGAATGTCAAAGGGGAAGGGTTGATTATGGTGATGCCTTCACTTGAGGACGGGCTCGGACAAACTGTGATGGTGACACTACCGGAGGAGCAGATGGCCGAACTGTTGTTAGTCATGTTTATTGATATTTCTAACTGGCTTTATTTACAGATGATGCTACATAGAATGGTCTTGTAAACAGGTGAAAATGATGGGAAGCCTATCCATTTGGAAATGTAGAAAGGGAAAGGTGGATTATGGTGATGCCAAAGATGGAAATTTCATTTCGCTTTGACCAAGGAGATCAAAAAAATTTTGTTCCATAAAAATGTGTGCGGATCACAATAGAGGTGACTAATACTGAGTATAGTCACATTGTGCAGGATAGAACACCATAATGCCTGAAAGTAAGGATTTTGGAATTTAGAATTGCCAATATGAAATTGTATTACTCTATTTTTTCCCTGATTAAGTCTAAATACAGTTTCGAAGAGAAATCTAAGGATAAATTTTCATAAGGATTGCAATAGATTTTTGTACACTTTATTATATCTTACAGGTGATTTGCTGTGAACCCAACAACTAATTGTGTCTCTAATTCAAAGCTGCTATCAATGCATATACTTGCATTTGAAAGTTACAGATGTCCTGAGGATTATGGCTTTGAAGACTAATGGGGCTCTTCAGTTATGAGAATTCAACCGTGGATTAACATGGTGATATCAAATTATTAGCATCTTTAATCATCTTTCTGCCAGTACATATTTGATCAACAACTTACTAATCCATGTAATATGCCCCTTTATTATTCAGCGAGAACCTGAATACTTTGAAGAGCAGAAAGTACAAACATGTATCATTTACTATTCATGACTTCTCTCTTTAATACCATAATAAGTGTTAATTATCCAACTACCGTTGTTTTGGATCTTATTTGCCCAAAGACCATGGTTTTACACTTATTTACCAAACTATCGTTTGAAAAAAAAAATGTATTTTCACTACATGTTTTAAAAGGTAGAGTTATACTTAGGTGGATTAACACTAGCATGCACCAGCAGACACACCCTCTGTTGTGCCTATATCATTCAGGGAACATCTATCCTTTGATTATAACCATATTAACAACGCTCATCCTAAATATGTAAACAGACCATATATGTGAACGGATGAACCTATTAGTTCACCTAGCAAATTAGATTTGCAACTAGCAAATAAGCTACCTTTTAGCACATCCACCAAACTTGCCTAATAATTGACATGCTTGCTCCTTATAGAAAGTTTGTGATTTTATAATTCTTTATTCATTCTAGTGTTCATCTACCATTGAAGTGAATCTCATAGAACACCCGATCATTAAAAACCAACATCTGTAGAATCTAACTCAGTCAGAGACTGCCCAAACATTGATATTTTCACTATGTCGAATAATTTTCAAATCAATAACTCAATTTGTCAAGAATAATAAAAAAAATTCTTGAATTGATTACACACATACTCAACATATTAACACTGCAATTATATTTACACTACCAGAAAAGGCAACAATATCCTGCTACGGAAGATACAAAAACAACATCATGCATCACATCAAGCTGATAACTTTTTTTTGGTGGTGGTGTATTAGCAAACCTCCATGAAACCTGATAAAGAGCTTCAGTAGTTTTCTCCCCCGCCACCTCACTGATGGGCACCGAATCAGAAATTTCTTTAAGGCCATCGTTTGTGAGATTCTCTTTCATGGAACCAATGTTAGCAAGAAGATTCTTAATTTTAGTTGCTCCTAAGAAAATGCCAGGAGAGGCTCAAAGCTAATTGAGGTCATCCTTTGTGCATTGATTTTTCTACTTATGTTTAGATCATCTGATTTATGAATTTCATTGGGTTAGGCTGTTCGGGTTTTAAAAATTTGAAAATATTTTGTCCTAGTCTCACAGTCTCCCCAATCTCATGTGAAACTTTAATCTGGATTATAATCTGAAACATACCCTAATCTGGAATTTTATCTTTAGATCTTGATTTTTTTTTGTTTACTCTTTTTTTTTTTTGTTTTGGTTATTTACACTCATTTTTTTGTTATTTAGGAAAATGAGTAGTTTGGAGTATTCTTCTGGTAGCTGGAATGAACCAGATCCTAATGATCACACCTTGTACGGAAGTACATTACAAAATTAGTCAAAATTGGAGGAGGTGGAGAAAATATTAAATTTAAATGCAACTATTGTCAACAAAGTTTTAAATTGGAGGCATCAGACCTTCGGTCCACTGGCCCAGGCAATAGGAGAGGTCTCTTCGAGATAGGTGTTCACGAATATGCCCTCGAGAGCATCATTTGTTGGTTTTGTGGATGGCTTGCCCATTTCTGATGCATTTTTAGTCGTCAAGCCTATTGAGAATGTAGATGTAAACGGTGAAAATGTGTCTGCCTCTCACATTGGTTGATGAGTATGATTTCTATATTTTGTCTTCTCTTTCTTAAAAAATGAACAAATTATCTAGGACTGAAATGTTTCGGTGAAAGAAAATCCAATACTTAAGTTCGTAAGTATATGAAAGAAATGTGTATGAAGAGAAGATTGTGTGTACTTTTTACTATGCATCCTCGACCCTTTATATAGTGTCTTTTTTCTTGTTAGGGTTCCCTTAATTGACCATGTAAGGTGGCATACATCCTATCAATCTGGAATATTTGTTAGGGATTGTTAAATTCTCTCCACACGCTCCCTCTGTTGATTAGTTCTTCCCAAGCCAATGATTACGCTTATTTATGATACCTAAATCCCCTAATTGTAGGCATTCCCCTACTTTAAGGTTATTCCGAATGGAGCTCTTGCTTCTTCTACTGAGCTCTCAATGACTCACTTCGGCATCATGAACTGAGTATTCATTGTTTGGTTTGACTTCTATTTCACTGTTCCCCCACATGATCTGTCTCATCATTTTCACGTGAGTGCATTAATTGCTCCCTACACGTACCACAATTTTATGCCCCTTCAGTAGACATTATCTTGTTTTATTTTCCTCAAGCCCGAACATTAATGATGATCGAACATGTGGGCTTATTGATGTGATGAGTAGTAGAGAATGATTAGTTATATTTTCACACTATACATTGGGACCCACACCAAATTCCAAAACAGTCGACTGAAGGCATGATTCTTGTTGACGTGGGTTGGTCAGGTGATGCATCATTTAATAATTGATGCGCACCTCACAAATGCTTGGCATAACTCATTAAATGCCTAACAGAGGCCATTAAATGTTTAGATGATATACATTGAATGGTCGATCCACCAAGCAAGGTAATCATTACAATGTTTGACCCCGAGTAAACGCCAGCCTTCTCAGGCCTAATACATGTGTGGCTCGAGAGAGCCACTAATTACTCGCCTTTAGAGATATACTATTTTCTGACTTAATGTGACTGACGACGTGTCATGACATCATTTCTCAAGGTATAAATAGCCCAAATGAATGGGTCTTAGGCATGCAAGTGTAACCCAACTTATATAGTATTCTTAATGTTCTCAAGCTGCACACCAACTGACTTAGGCATCAGAGGAGACATGACATATCTCTGACCCCATTCTAGTCTTGTTCCTTGTTATAGAAATCACACGAACAACCAGGTGTCACTATCCCAACTATTGCGTTGGATTCATCCTATGCAGTTTGCTGCTATCTATGGAAAACTACGAACATAGTTCTCACGCAGCAGATACCATGGCAAACACCCATTCTCAAGGCAATGCAGAGGAAAACCTTCGTGCACAAAGCAAGAAAGTTATTTCGTCCCCTATTCCATCAGTGTTCAAGTCAGTGGCACGGACTAAGAGCATGCATCACAATTCCCAGCAGCGTACTCAACACACCAACTAGACCCTCGACCTTCAAGGGGGAATACTCCTTGTTCATGAGTGGGTCGATCTGATCGAATAACAGTTGGGTGATCGGCTAAAACAAATAAAACAAGATAATGTCTATGGAGGGGCATAAAATTATGCCACGCATAGGGGGATATTAATGCACTCACATGAGAATGATGAGACAGATTACATTGGGGAACATTGAAATAGAAGCCGAACCAAACAGTGAATACTCGGTTCATGATGCCGAGCCTAGTCATTGAGAGCTTAGTAGAAGAAATAAGAGCTTGGTTTCGATAAGGCCGTGCTCCATTCAGAACAACCTTAAATTAGGGGAATGCCTATAATCTAGGGATTTAGGTATAACGAATAAGTGTAATTATCGGCTCGGGAAGAGCTAGTCAACAGAGGGAGCATATGCAAGATTGCAGCAATCCCTAACAAATATTCTAGATTAATAGGAGGTGTGCCACTTTGCATCGTCAATTAGGGGAACCCTAATGAGAAGAGATACACTATATAAAGGGTTGAGGATGCATAGTAAAAAGTACACACAACCTTATCTTCATACACATTCCTTTCATATACTTTCCGACTTAAGCATCATAGTGCCTTCGATCGAAGCACTTCGGGTCTAGGTAGTTTATTTTTTTGTAGGAAGGAGAAGGCAGGATACAGGAATCATACTCATCAACCAACATGAGAGGCAGACACATTTCCACCGCTTACATCTACATTCTCAACTAGCACCCGCCTCACATCAAAGTTTGCAATTCATACGGTGAGCATGAGTGCATCATT